AGGTCTAGCTTAAATGTCCTTTTATAAATAGTGTGTGTTTCAAGGTGTCTCTATTACATGTATTGTTATTGTATTGTATGAATTTTGGTCCAGATTCTATAAATAATCCATGAAAGCAGTATTTGTCCTGCCTTTCAGGGCCTTTGTATAAGTAATACACTCAGGAAAGTAGTATTTTTATCAGACATATCAGTAAATACGTCTCTAGAAGAATAAATCCTTATCTCAACTCATTTGTTTTTTTAAGATAAATAAAAAAAACGATAAGTTTTTGTGCAAACCTTCAGCATTTGTCGCCAACACTTCTTGAGGGTGAGACTTTTATGTTTATATGAATGCATGAATTTATTTATTTTTCAGTTTTCTGGAGGTCTAGGAGGGCCTTTGAGATATAAGTTTATAATGGCTATATTAGCATTTTAACAGAGTAGTTGTTGCATCACATACGACATGGCACAAGTGGTAGCTTATATTAACCAAAAGGAAACTAATAGGCAGCATGAAATCATGCAAAGTTTACAGAGGATATCCTAAAAAATGTTAAAAATAAATAAATAATTTCTTTATTTCTATAGCCTGCTTCATTTTAAGACTTGACGAGTCTTGTTTGACGCTAACTACAGTTAGTTTTCACAAATCCCGGGTGAATCCTGGAGGAGAATTCCTCCTTTTATTACTGTAACTCTGTAATTTACATAGTGCTGCATGTTTTGTTGTGTCTTCAGGTTATGGCCACACTGTTCCTCTCTCTGATGGGGGGAAGGCTTTCTGTATCTTCTACTCCCTCCTTGGCATCCCTGTTACCCTCTTCTTCCTCTCTGCTGCGGTTCAATGGATCATGTCCGTGGTCACACGTCGTCCACTGTCCTACTTCCATCGACGATGGGCTATGTCTAAGGCACACCTGGGAGTCATCCATGCTGCCTTCCTTGCCTTCATCACGACCCTTATCTTTGTAATTATCCCTGCATGGATCTTTGTCGCTCTCGAGGAAGACTGGAACTTCCTAGAGGCTCTGTATTTCTGCTTCATCTCTCTGACAACTATTGGCCTTGGAGATTATGTACCAGGAGAAACTCCCAGTAAAGACGTAAATCCACACCCACACCTCTACCGGCTGGCCATTACAGGTGAGTAGAATTTAAAAAGGCAGTCACATTTTTTAAATCTAATATATCATGAAATAGATCATTTATGTTGTAAAAAGAAACAATTAAATATCAAAATCTGGAATATTTTTTGGGCTTTCTCTTGCCTATAAGATAGTTTTTAGTGAAAACAGAGAAGACGCACAGTAAAGGCCTTCATGTCTCCTGCTCAACCTCTGAGCTAAACCAACACCTAGAAATTCCTGACTTTTAATAAAATATCTATATAAATACACCCTTTGTTCCAAAGACACAATGTGTAAAATGCCATCTATCATGCTACAAGGTTATTGGATCATTAGAAAATAAAAAGAAGCAATTCAAATATAATTATGTTTTCACAACTAAAAGCTGTTCTATTGATTTAAAAAGTCAATAAACACATGGAGAATCAGGCTCAGTGACTCTGAAAATAAGGTAAACGTCTTCTGATATTCATCAGAGTTTTTCTAAGAATTGAGCCACCCATTCATGATCTTCCCCTTTGCTAAAGTCAGTCAGCAGGCTAGGCAGGATATTCTAGACATCCTTCTCCCCAGTTCCTCCTGCCAGATTACGAGGATTTCCCATGCCAGATGAGATATATAGTGTGTTTTGAGTCTATCCCAGGGTCTTCTCCCAATGGGACCTGCCCAGAAAATCTCCAAACACCTAGTAGGCATTGTAAGAAAATGCCTGAACCATCTCATCCGGGTCTTTTTAGCATGGGGTAGCAGTGCTTTCACTCCCAATTCCCACCAGCCATTACTCTCTGTTTGGACATTGTAGAGAACCTGAACAACTTATACACAGGTGTGCACTACTTTCTTCATACAACAGTGCAAAGTGGCTTTAACAGGAGTACAAAGGGGGGTGGAGTGCGCAACTAAGCAAGTAAACAAGAACATCACAGTTTCTGTTTCTAGAGTTAGGAAGCTCCCTAAATGATAACTGTAAGAGCCAGATGCTTTAGTTAGTAATACGTAGTGTTTTAATAAACCTTTAGCTTTTTGGCAATTTTCTTTAAAGAACAGCCTTCATTTCTTATAACAAAAATACTCTGATGAGTTTTAAAAGAGAATGACTTAATCAAATCCATAAAGGTGAATGCTTCATATTTTCTTCATCATGTGCATTGGATTTTAAAGATTTTCACGAGGTTTAATGCTAATGTCAGCATGCTAACATAATCACACTGACAATACTAACATGCCAGTGTTCACCAGGTGTGATATTTACTTTGCTTGCCAGTGTGGGATAGTATGTTTGCATCCCTCCATAACTTATATGGAGGGATGGGCAGTTGTATTTTTGGGCATCTGGCAAATGTAGATCCAGCATCAGCTCGTTAGTTCTGTTATCAACTCTGAAGGCAATAAGTGCATAATGACTTTGCTGTGGGTGTTCATTTTGGGGATGTGTTTTAAAGCTTGTAGGCTGAAAATGATTGCCTGCTGCGTCCAAGAATGAACAAAGGGAACTGTTTGCGTTGAGGGCCTGACAGATAATTACTGAGGCGAAACATGCTATTAATCTCGTTAAGCCAAGGGGTTCTTCAGAGTCAGGTTATAATTTTCCGTCGGCTCCATGTTGCAGCGGCTCCTTTCACCGTGACACCTTTTTTTTTCAGTTTTGTTTGTTGGTATAAAAAATTCTAGGTGTTCCTGTAACAGTAGTAATGTTACAAATTCATCAAACAAAGCAGTCCCTGTTATTTTATCTGCACCTTTTATTTACTGACCAATAAAATTGCTCTTCCAGTCTACTTGCTGCTGGGCTTGGTGTGTGTCCTGGTTGTGCTGGAGACATGTTGGGAGCTTCCCCAAATGAAACGCCTTAGACATCGATTTTATGAAGAAAACCTTCGGGAACTGGACTCAGAGACCACCAACATCATCGACCGTGATCAATTGAGCGACCAGCTGGCCGATACTGCAGATCATGTGATAGATCACCCAGCAACCATCTCTTCTGTGTCAGAACAGGCTGCATCCATACGACAGAACGGGAAGTCAGCGCCTTACACCCTGGCATCAGGAAGTGCTCTTAACGGAAAACCGAGATGACAGATTGTGTTGGCTTCCAGGGTATTTTAGTACAAACTGTTCTTAAGGGGCTGTGTAATATTCTCCATGCATGGCTGCACAGGACGTACCGGCTTTGACCTCTTTCTATGTCTAGAGTTTATAAGGAGTCTGAACAAATTTATATATATATCACCATCTAAGCAAAGTTATTTAAAAAAGCGATTGCTCTTTTCCATTGCCAAGAATGAAGTGTTTATCAGCATGGCATTGTTTCCACCCTTACTGTGCAATTCCCTGCCGATAGAGATCTTGGCACAGAGGAAGGGCTGGGCCCCCCAAACAGAGGGAAACCCCCACAAGTTTCCATTTCCTGCCAAGTTTTGATGTTGAAATTCCAAAGCAGCTAAGTCTGCTCCAGAGGATTTAACATCCACTCTTGGCACATTTCATAATCTATGGTGGTATTTGCATAGGAAATTTGCCTTCTTGAAAACAGTAAAGCAGTACCAGAAGAATCAGGCGTGTCGTCAGTGAGCCCTGTGTACATTATATACAGGAATTACAAGAAGATCAGGTGATAGCAAAGAATACAAATGTTTTTGTTCATGGTTCCTTACAAGTTATGATTAGCCTTCAGTTCTTGGTGGAATGTAGAAAATCAAGTGGTAAAAACCCTGCAATGTGTCGCTTCTTGACACTAGAGGGCAGCACTTTCATATTACAGTTGGATTTCCATGAAGCTTTTACTTGAAATTGCTATCTCATGCTGTTTAGGGATGTATTTCTTTAAAAGTGTAACCAAGGTGCAAAAATATGTCATTTTTAACACTGTGGGAGATGAAGGAATATGCCGAAAGACGTTTTAGTAGCAATAAAACAAATATACAATTAATGCTGGATGTTTTATGCCTGCAGTTATTTCTGTTTTACTCACAAAGCAGCTTTAAAACAGACTCAAATCTTGACAATCAGAAATAATTGTTTTTTGGAGGGTTTTTGTTAAGGGATTCAATGAAAAGCAGAACTTTGAAATTGTTGGTTTGTTGTTGTTTTTAATCAAAAATCATTTGTTTTTTGGGATAAAATGTAAATGCATCATGAAACATTAAAGAGAATGAGTGATTATGTTTTTAACAAGTGTAAAAGTGCCAATCTGATTTTTTTTTATAAACTTTAGTTATTTTATTTATACAGTAGTATCTTCACATTCACATGTTCATTATTTAAGACACTTACATGCAGACTGACGTGGGTACAAGCACACTTTCAGGTGTCACACATTCAAACTCAGACATGCACACACACACACACACACACACACACACATACACTCTTATACAGGAAATGTCCTTCAAGCAGGGATGCACAACTTACTCCTTTGTGGGAGACACTGTTATCCTTCAATCCGTATGACCTTTAACCTCCCCACTACCTAGTAAAACAGTCAACACAAACACAAACATTTGCAAATGTCCTCTATCTCATTTGCCACTCACACATACTCACAGTGCAGTGCAAAAGTCTTAAGCCACCCTTCATGTCTTTATTTCTTGCTTGGAAAATGGGGGATGGGGTAGTGATTTAATAAAACATACAAATATACATGGAAACACAATAAAACACAAGCAAAAAAACGGTTTTTACAAATGCAACAAATCAGAAGGTTGAACTACTTTTATTCTTTAACACAGTCTTTTCTCTCTTGGGCAAGATTTCTTGTAATTTTTGAGTAGAAAGTAGTTGTCAAAACTTCTTGAAGGACATTCAAAGCTCTTCTTTGGCTGTTGGCTGCCTTTTGTCCTGTTCTCTTACAAGATGATCTCACACTGCTTCAGTAATGTTGAAATCTGGGCTCTGGGGAGGTGAATCCATGACTGATAGTGTTCCATTGTGTATTTTTCCATCCAGGTATGCTTTTACTGTAAGCAGTATGTTTTGGATCATTATCACGCTAAAAGTTTGTTCCAGACGATGTTGCATGGTGGATAAAATTCTGACAGAATCAGAGCCAGATGCATTTCTCCAATTATCTGTCAAGTCTTTGCTGGATTCTTTCCTATTGCTTAAGGAAATCACTTAAAGATACCTTTCATCTCCTGTAGATAGTTTTTCAGGCCTGCCAGTTCTTCCTTGTCCAGTTTCCTCAATTTATTTAAGGACACATTGCACATGATGCTAAGATATTAAGTTTTAAAAATAATAGCTCTTTGTTGGTGAAAAATACATTTTGTGTCTGTTAAACTGTGTTATCGTTGGCATTTTTCACGAATTCAATGAAAGAAATGTGAACACATGATACATTTTTGCAACAGCTGTTAATAACAGAGTGCTTAAAGATACTATTTAAAATGAGTTCATTGCTAAGTTGTCTGTTTTGTGCTGACAGAACACTAGTTCATCCCTTGAGCTAGGTGTCTTCTTTTATACTTGAATGACTCATAGGTCAGCGTTAAGTGGCTTAAGAAAAAAAAATCCTCTTAAATGGCGAGGTACAAAGACTGAACTGAAAATAAGCGAAAAAGCAGCCAATGTCTAAAGAAGAATTGTGAAAGACCTTCAGGAAGTCTAGAGAACTATTGCTCAAGAGAGGTTAAAAATAATAGTTTGTGTAGGTTCTCAGTCATCAAGGTTATGGTTGTCTATGGAACTTGGAAAGACAAGAGCCTGGACTCCTTTAAGTTTCTTGAAGACGGTTCACCTCTCGCTGCTTAGACTACAAGTACATGTGGCTCCTTGAAAGGAAAATATAAATAGATGAGGAGTGACTCGAGATTTTTGCACATAACTGTACATGCATACATACGCTTCAGAGTGTTTATACAATTTGTGTTTTCTTGGAGCAACGGGGCCAGAATATGCGGAGGGCGAGAAGTAAGAGGAGGCCAATGAGTAGTATTGTCATGATGGTTACTATGGAGACGTAGCCAGCGTGGGGGAGAGGGGGTGAATCAGGAGCCTCAGCTGGGATCATGTTGGTGAGATTCAACATGTAACCCAGAGTCCAGCCTGCATCACTGCCTTTTATCTGGAAACAAAGAAGAAGGGAAGCGATCGCCATAAACATAAACTGTTGACAAATTCAAATAAAAAGCGTTTAAATTCAGTTGTCTTAACAAACCTTGCTACTACTAGAAGATCTTCAGTATGCCAAAGCACTGATTAATGTGCCAGTCCAAACTCTCCTTTAAGTGTTCAACCCACACAAGTAGGGATCAAGAGTTCAGGTTTTTCCTTTAATTTGTCACCAGTCAGTATAGTGAGGTTAACCTGATGTAGCGGCTTATAGTGAAATGCCTTCCTTAGGGTATTATGGGTAATTTCACTCGCACAGCATATGCTTGCTAATTGTAAAAAAAGAAATTCAAAAAGTAAACATTGAAATTCTTACACGAGATGTTAATTAGAACTGTGACTGCACAGTCTGAAACAGCTGCTGGTCTACCCTTCGCTAACTGGGTCCCCCATCTAGCTACAGTATCATCCAGTACCTGTAATAGGCCCCACATTGAGGGGTTCAAAGAACACCAGCAGTTCCAATCAGCATTATTGTGAATCAACGTTTGATGTTAATCCTTTGTTTTTCAAGTACTCAGCTGTGTTATTTATTCATTTTTTAAATAAATGATTATGATATTTGATTACACAGAATCCAATTTGTGTGCATGTCTGTGTATAATTATAGCAGAGTAATAATTGTCAGAGTTTACAACAAGGAAGCAGACTGGCTGCTTTCTTGTTTTTTTGTTTTTTGCCACCTAGTCTTTCTGGAGTAATACGAAGTAACACCCAAACTAATCCTGTTGTATTGCATGTAGGTTGAACTGGTTTGAGTTTTTCTTGTTATGGTGTGATTTATGTCCCTTTTATCACTACATTTTAAGTCACTAGAACAGAGCAATGAATTCCTTATCTGCTCACTGCTTTTTTCTAATCAAGGCTTCTTGGAAAGAGTTAAACATTCTTGTGTGTAATATAATTTAACTTTTAAAGGGGCAATTGTGGTTTAAGAGTTGGGAGTTAGTCTTGTAATCGGAAGGTTGCTGGTTCGAGCCCTGGCTCGGACAGTCTCGGTCGTTGTGTCCTTGGGCAAGACATTTCACCCGTTGCCTACTGGTGGTGGTCAGAGGGCCCGGTGGCGCCAGTGTCCGGCAGCCTTGCCTCTGTCAGTGCGCCCCACCCATTCACATACACACTGGTGTGTGTGAATGGGTGGATGACTGAATGTGTAAAGCGCCTTAGGGACTAGTAAAGCACTATACAAATACAGGCCATTTACCATTTTACTCAGAGGATGTAACCACTGATAATGTTAAAATCTTACCAACTTGGCTGTGAGAGAAGGAGGGTGAGTGGCTTACATCTAGATCTACACCCATTAGCAACATACCTGACTAAATAAATCATGATTTCATTTATTTATGGAAAAAAAAGCCATCTAAACCTATCCTTGCAAACCCCCCAAAAAAGTAATTGCCCCTTAAACCTGCTGTAAGAACTGGTTTTGCTGCCCTTTGCAGCAAAAACTGTAATCAAGCATTTCCTAACTGTGACAAATATGCAAAAAAACAAAAACAAGAAGTTGTTGTTTACTGCCTGCTTTTTCACAGCACCACCTAGAAGAAGTAGGTGTGAATTAATGCAAAGTTTAGTCCTCTAGATTGTATACTATATTACAGCATCTTTTAACATGGCGTGAAATCCTGATCCCTGATCCTGATCATTGTTTGTATGGCTTTCTTGATGACAGCATGTGTGTGTGTGCAGCTGGCTGAGGAGGTGGTTGCTGAATATTCCTCTGAAGTGTAAAATCTTTGCCGTGTTTCATATGAAAAAGGAATTGCAATCTATTTTCTGGCTGCTTGATTAGGTTACGTGCAATATTCTGCGTAGTCTATTTCCCTTGTGTGTTCTGTGAGGAGATAACCGAGAGTCTCGTTTTAATCTGAAACCTAAACTGAAGGCTGACTTTGCACTTTACCTCAGATGAGAAGAGCTTTGCTGCTGTATAATTCACGGGCTGTTGCTACCTACTTTTTGAATCACTTTTAAGGTGGTGGTAGAGAGTGGTTCTGTTGTTTTGAGGGGTTTTATGTCCTCTGTGCTTTGCTTTTTACTTTCTTGTTTGAACAGCAGAGCTTTTTGTTTCTGCAAACTGCAAGCATATTAGATGTAGCTGGAATAGATTAGTGTTGTCTGATAAGGGTGCTATGAAATTCTTAAATAACTCAGAGCTTAGTTAGCTCTTTGCATAAAACTTGTGCCCGGTATTTATACCAATGCTTGTTAAAGCTGGCCTCCTAAAGGACAGCTGAATGCCCAAACTGGCAGAGAGGATTACAGTTAGTCCAAGTTAAATGTAATCCTAAATTTTTAAACCACCTTTTACACAGTTGAGGTTTTTCCACACCTGTCACTTTCCAACAGAGACTTAAATGTGTCCAGAAAGATGGATGTTACAGTAGGTATTTGTTTATATATGCACTCACACACACAAGTACAAGGTCAGGTCAGTATGACCTACCAGGTGTGGATGTCTCTCTTTAAGAGACAGGAAAAAGCTGGACAGTGATCTACTGACCTTCTTGATGAATTTTATGTTTGAGTAAGTCACTGCAGTGAAATCATATCCTTCTGTCAACAGGGTGAGGATGTAGGTGCCCGAGAAGCAGTATTCAGCCAGATACTTTACGTTTACTGTAGGATGCTGAATCTTTATCTGTGCAGGAAGTTCAAACGCAAGAATGCAATCAGTGTACATTACAGGCAGGCTGAAGGACATAGATAAGACACAGAAGGGGGTGACTATGACAGAACATTTTTTATGTATATAACCAATGTATACATTTTCTCTGACCTTATCCCAAGAGGTAGCACAGTACTGGCTTAGCTTTTCCTTCACAGTTTCAAGGGGCATGGATGTATCCGTCAAATTGAGGAAGTTCATCACAAAGTAGTAAGCAGAGAACGCCTAAAATGAAAGATGAAAAGAGAAAGCGATGACACAGGAGGAAATCAGGATATCTCTAGAAAGTGAAGTAATCAATTTATAAATACTACGGAAATTTATCGGACATTTATTGAAATCATTATATCATAATCATAACAATTGCCACTTAAACCACTAAAACGTTTTCCCCCTAAATATTTTAGAATAAGGTATCGGCTAAGTACCCCCTTCATTACAACTGCAAGGGGATGATTTTTTTTTTAAATAAATTAAAATTTTGTTGTTTTGATTGTTGGGGGTGTGGCTTATTACTGAGAGGTGGATCCTAACACTGGTGGCAGTAGCCAATAGCTGTGTGCCAGGTTTCAACATGGCAGGTTTACCACATGTACTGCACTGTCTGGGCATCTTAACCATGTTGCTGGGGTCTGTTGCAGTTATACTATAAGAAATATGGCTAGCTGTGTGATTAAGGTGGCAACAACCGTCAAATTAGTCTTTGCTAATTAAAAGAAATAGTCTGTGGTAGATACAATATTCAGTAGTATTGCAATGATTTAGTTTATTTTTTCGGGGGGTTTTTAGAAGGGAAACATGCACGTTTTCTATTCTATCACTACAACCTAAGTATACTGTCTCTTCAGACTGATTATTGTATCAGTTAATGTTACAAAGGTTTATTTTCTTATTCAGATCAGGAAGATGAGGAAACACAAGCGCTTTTTGCTGAGGCGTTCCACAATTAATGTCAGTCATGTTAAAAACAGAAGTAACTCAATAAACTGGTACTTCGAGGATTGCAGAATTGATTATACTGTATGTTCTGTAACCCCTGTGCACGCCCAAACGGCACGAGTGCTCTGTGCTTCCCACAGATAGATTCTGACTCAATAATTCCAGTTGATCCTCTACTTTGTGATACAGAGAGTGCACACTTCTCACAGAATCGGAATCAGATGGGGTTGCTCAAGGGGTGGGGTAGAAAACAGCATAAAGAGGGAACTTCGAATCAGCATCTGTTGGGTGTATTCAGGTCATAATTTTTCTGATTAATTTTCATTCAGGCTTTATAACATTACTGAAATATTTCCATTTGTTTTCTTACTGGTCTTCTGTTTTGTTTTCTATAAAATTTGCACACACAGTGAATAAAAGCAAATTAGGAAGCCATGTACAGTTATAGATAGTCCACATGATATAACTGCATTATTTTTGTATGAAATTTCTTCCATATTGGATGCAAAATGAGTGCCCAAAATGTGTGCACTTGTGTGCATACATGTGGCTGTTCACGAACAAGTCTCATGCTATGGATGAACTCCAACCCCATGATCATAGCCTGCATCTGCTGATAGTAGTCTGTTTTGTTGTGCAGCCTTGTAATCTGCGAGTTGTGGTTAGAGTGGTTAGAGCTCACAGGGGATCTTCAGAGCAGACATGAGCAGTATAAAAGATGGACATAACTTCTCGGACCGAAAAATTAAGCAAATGAAAAAGTGCCCTAAAGCTCTATTCTGTCTGAAGGCAATAGACTTTAGGCACCGTAGGATTCTTTCTGTCTTGACTTAAATAAATACTCTCTTGATGAGTTTATGTCCTCAGTCGCTCCTTTTGGGTCAATAAAAGTGAGGATAGTCGGGCAGTAAATTAAACTTGAATGGGGTCATTCTCACAGATGTAGCAAAAAATGAATGAATAAATGCATGAATGCTAAATGCTAAAATGAGTCACCAGATATACTTGGATGACTGTTTATAAACCAGGTTAAATCTACACATGGAGAAACACTCACTTACCCCGAATGGCCCCTGCAAAAGAGGCTGGAAGACCCCATTGAAAGAGCATCGGCTGTATTTGCAGGAAGTAAAGTTAAATACACTTTTGACAACTTCTTGGCATTCTTGGAAGTTTCCTTTCCCAATGTGATCAAATATTTCTGGAACTTCCTGAGGTTTCCTGCCTGACACACAGGGGCTGTCATAAAGGACGGAGTAGTTCTTTGTCTCATTGTAGCCTGAGTGGAAACAAGGATCCAATACTGTTGTTGCACCTGACTAGGAGAGAGAGTGAGATAGTGAGGTGCAACAGATGGAGAACAATGAAGCCTAAGTACTTTTGCACATTTAAGAACATTATGGCTCTCTCAGATAAGATCCCATATTTGATTAGTTTGAACAGTTCATTCACAAAACACAGGAACCAAGGTCAGAAGTTTACCTGAGTCTGATTTGCCACCACCATTTTTAACGCTTGGTCTTTTCCGTAGCACAGGAAGCTGTGAGTATACAGGTTATAATCATTTCCATAGAGTCGGAAGTTGACAGAGTTGATGGGTGACTCTGAGCCGTCAAAATCATCGGATATAAAGCTAATTTGAGTAGACGCCCCGCCAAGGTCAAGAGCGCCTGTTGTTTTCAAGCCCTGCAGAAGAGGTAAAATAACACTCGGTCAGTGCAGAACCAGGAGTACTGGCACACACAAAGTACGTCTCAGTGTGGACAAATGTGCACGGACCTGTATGTTGATGTGCACAAACTGACCTGTTTGAGACGATCATCCAAGTAGTTGACTGTGACCCACCCGAAGGCACCCTCTTCCTGCCCACTGAGGATTCTTGCTCCCTGATAGGAGAAGGGGGAGTTCCGCAAGGCGTTCTCCACAGCCTGAAATACGTTCTTTGATGCTGAGCTATTCACAATACTGCAGGCACACATGGCACAAATGTATGTGTGAGTCACGTCCACAAGTCAGATCAATACAGCAGCCCATAAATAATATATACATTGTATTGTGCATAATGGCTTTGACAGTAACCTATTCACTGTCCTGGCAGTTCTTGTGGAGATAAATGTGCAAATACGAACGGTTACAAAAAAATAGCAATATTTGCACTGCCAATGCAAACACAGTTTCAGCTTTTAGACAGGAGATAAGCTAAACAGTGTCAGCATGAAAAGCTGTTCACTGTGGGTGTTTTTAAAAAACATTCTTTTCTAGGTTTTATCATGAAAATGTCTAAGCTTGTGCAACATACTCCAGCAGCCTCATTCCTGCTGTGGCTCCCAGATAGAGTGGGGTCTCGTGAGCTCTTTCTTTGGGGACAGTCTCCTCAGCCTCCCCCATGCACTCTTTCAGAGACTCTCCTGCTTTCCATGGTTCAGACGCATAGCTGGAAATACCTTTACCTGTTAAAACAAAAAGTCAGGAGGGTTACTGGGCAGAAATTTAGTAACAATAAAGCACAGTGACAGCCTTGTCTTTACAGCGACCCTTCTTAAAAATTCACTCATCTGTAAAATTTCAGGAACTGTTCTGTATTTCAGAAGGGACGGGCCAGGTAAAGATGTTATTGAGGTTAAATGAACTTATAGAATAAATTGCCTAATACTAGGCAAAGATGCAGCCAGGAGTGCCTTACTAGTTTCAGTTCAAAATATAACACAGTTATGGGTATTTACATGTATATCATGTATGTAATTAATAGCGTTATTGGTAATAAATGACTTTTTTGTAAATGACAACAGTTTAATTAAATTATATATACCATGCTTAAATTTTTAATTATTCTGTGTTTATTTGGTACGATACAGTATCTATATTTGACTTAAAGTCGGGAAGCTGTAGGGAAACACCCAGTTTGGCTGTCTCTAAATGCACTTTTAAGGCTTACCAATAAACATACAATAGCTCCTTTGTTTAGTCCACATAAAAACAAAAATGCCATTCTGCAGTTTTGCAGGTGCCAGACATGCCTTTTTTGCCTGTGCATTGAATTCCTACAGTCTTGTCATCACCATGAGATTGTGTTGGTAATAAGCTATTGTTTTTCATTTGTCTGTCATTGCTTTTACAAAATAACCACGTCTAGATTCTCTGGAACCAAAACAAAAACACAGATAAAGATTTTTCAGAAAACAGAGAGTACAGTTACTAATCGGATGTGAAGGGATTTGGAATACATGTGTAATTGTTTTTATTCTGTTAAAATGATTAATTGGCTTACTGAATACATAGCTACCACAATATTATCAACATACAACAAAACATTAAGCCAAAAACACATCTAGCTCTGTGTATAGTAGTATATTCTTTTGCTCTAGCATAACTTGCTATTTTAAGCTTTCACAAAACAGGCATAGCATTAGTTCAGACAGGCACCAAAGTTAAGTTCAACTGATCTTCATGCCAACCCACTTCAACTAATACCCTCCTACACAGCTACAGTGGCTTGCAAAAGTATTCGGCCCCCTTGAACTTTCCCACATTTTGTCACATTACAGCAACAACCATGAATCAATTTTATTGGAATTCCACGTGAAAGACCAATACAAAGTGGTGTAAACGTGAGAAGTGGAACGAAAATCATACATGATTCCAAACATTTTTTACAAATAAATAACTGCAAAGTGGGGTGTGCTTAATTATTCAGCCCCCTTTGGTCTGAGTGCAGTCAGTTGCCCATAAACATTGCCTGATGAGCGCTAATGACTAAATAGAGTGCACCTGTGTGTAATCTAATGTCAGTACAAATACAGCAGCTCTGTGATGGCCTCAGAGGTTGTCTAAGAGAATATTGGGAGCAACAACACCATGAAGTCCAAAAGAACACACCAGACAGGTCAGGGATAAAGTTATTGAGAAATTTAAAGCAGGCTTAGGCTACAAAAAGATTTCCCAAGCCTTGAACATCCCACGGGGCACTGTTCAAGCAATCATTCAGAAATGGAAGGAGTATGGGATAACTGTAAACCTACCAAGACAAGGCCGTCCACCTAAAGGCTCAACAAGGGGAGCGCTGATCGGAAATGCAGCCAAGAGGCCCATGGTGACTCTGGACGAGCTGCAGAGATCTACAGCTCAGGTGGGGGAATCTGTCCATAGGACAACTATTAGTCGTGCACTGCACAAAGTTGGCCTTTACGGAAGAGTGGCCAGAAGAAAGCCATTGTTAACAGAAAATCACAAGAAGTCCTGTTTGCAGTTTGCCACAAGCCATGTGGGGGACACAGCAAACATGTGGAAGAAGGTGGTCTTGTCAGATGAGACCAAAATGGAACTTTTTGGCCAAAATGCAAAACGGTATGTGTGGCAGGAAACTAACACTGCACGTCACTCTGGACACACCATCCCCACTGTCAAATATGGTGGTGGCAGCATCATGCTCTGGGGGTGCTTCTCTTCAGCAGGGACAGGGAAGCTGGTCAGAGTTGATGGGAAGATGGATGGAGCCAAATACAGGGCAATCTTTGAAGAAAACCTCTTGGAGTCTGCAAAAGACTTGAGACTGGGGCGGAGGTTCACCTTCCAGCAGGACAACGACCCTAAACATAAAGCCAGGGCAACAATGGAATGATTTAAAACAAAACATATCCATGTGTTAGAACGGCCCAGTCAAAGTCCAGATCTAAATCCAATCGAGAATCTTTGGCAAGATCTGAAAACTGCTGTTCACAAACGCTGTCCATCTAATCTGACTGAGCTGGAGCTGTTTTGCAAAGAAGAATGGGCAAGGATTTCAGTCTCTAGATGTGCAAAGCTGGTAGAGACAAACCCTAAAAGACAGGCAGCTGTAATTGCAGCAAAAGGTGGTTTTACAAAGTATTGACTCAGGGGGCTGAATAATTACGCACACCCCACTTTGCAGTTATTTATTTGTGACAAAATGTGGGAAAGTTCAAGGGGGCCGAATACTTTTGCAAGCCACTGTATGTGACAAATCATAAATCATAAACGGTGTGCCATTCAGGTTGCTTAATCTGCCTACAATTGGTGTGTATCTCCAAGCCACTTTGCAACCCACCTACACTCCAGCTTCTCATTTTCAGGCAGTGTCTGAATTGATTAGTGTGTTATCTGTTGTCATTTTTTTTTCTATAGTGGTCCTGGGAAGTTGAACAAAATCCATTTAAGATAAGATAAGATAGAACTTTATTAATCCCTCGGGTGGGTTCCTCTGGGAAATTCGATTATATAGACTTAACACAACATTTGAAACAATGGCTGACTCGGTAAGGTGTTCCCCAGTGCCATTTGTCATTTAATATGAAATTTAATGTGGAGGCTTTTTAACGAACCATCAGATGTGTACCCAATAATGCTAATGAATAATTAGTAAGTGGCTATGCTAATCCACCAAGTCTCTAGATGTAAATTTTGATCAGTCTTTGGCTTCAGATGCCCTGCAGTTCGCTTTAAAAGAGCATAAGATTTCAAACTGAATGAAGAGAAAATGAATCACCTTGGACTTAAGGAAAATAGTATAATACAATTATACTTAATTGTAGCTTTTTAGAAGGAATCATTGTTAAACAGGAATGTATCATTTATGACCAAATTTAAACACGCACATACACAAACACTAATAGCTATATCAGTAAATATGCAGATTCATATGCAATTTCCTACATATTAATGCATATATGTAAGTTTGCACTGTCATATGAGAGTATTTGTGCAACATATACTGTACCTTTGACTTTGCAGGAGTGTGTCTGTTCAACTCTGCCAGTGTTGTTATCCTTCTCTGCTGGCCACTGATAAATATAAAGAGCTGTGTGGGAAGATCCAGCATCCAGCACAATCCCATACTGGAGGAGGAGCAGAAAAATAACAAATTCTAGTTAATTAGTTACATGCAAACATTTAACATCAGGGTAATGATTGTATAAACTACATGTTGCCAAAACTGTGGCACCAATCCATGTGAATTAGGAGTACAGTACTTTATAAAAACTAGACCATGCTTTCAGCTGTGAGACTCAAACCTGGATCTGCAACTGTAACTAAAGAGATGATTTAATGTTATTGTTGATATCCGCTGGCCATATTCGGTGGTGGATTTGTAAAGCCGGTTGTACAAGCTGAGGTCATATACTGACAAGATGCCTTATTTGGTTTGTGGACTTTGGCTTAAGATTCCTGTGTAACACATTTGACTCCCACACAGGGAACAGGTCACAACATTTGAGTACTTTACCTTGTACTTTTGGGGGACAGGTTTGTTCTGCAAAACCGCCACCGTCACCAGGGCAACAATCGCTATGACACCAATCACAATGATGATGATGGTCACAGGCGTAGGCCAGGGGTTCTTCTCTTTCATCTCTGAGAGCGTGGGTGGAGAGACAGACAGAGACAGGAAGGAGAGGAGAGGCGAGAGGGTAAAAAGGGGAAGATGGAGACACACTGTTAAGTAGGTATGTGTTTAGCCACTCTTGGTTCCAGATGTGGCATATGTCACAGAATGTGTGTGCTTGGATGTTGGAGAGAAACTGTGTTGGAAAGAGCGTTTAATTGTTTTGTTGTGTTTTGTAACCAAGGGCTTTCTGATTTGGGGTGTGTAAATTGTTGCCAGACTGTTCATTGATTTTAGGGGGAGTTGTTATTTCAGCCACAGCACATTAGAGAGGGTATCTCACTGGTGTATTTAACATGGGCTGAAAGATCAGATATCCACTATGAAAAGCACTTAAAGAGAACTATTATTGTGGAAATACTTGAACTGTTTATACAACACAGAGGGACAATTGGATATAATCAAAAAGACAACTCTACCAAAGAAAGGCTGACCTATTAATTCAATAGCTATACTCCCACAAGAGTGTATGAAAACAGTGATTAAAGATTTCAACATGTGCTAGTTATTATTTTGATATCAAATATTACTTTTTGGGTTCTCATTCCTCTTGAAGTACTCTGAAGTATAGAGCTATCACAATTGCTCTAATGGGATAAAGTCAAGATGCTATAGCAGATAATATGCACTTTTAAGTGCACAGTTTCAAAAACAGACAAAAAAAAGGGTATAAAAGGCTGTCTGTAGTCACAAAGCTACTGTGATGGAAAATCGATGAATAAGATACCAGTATGAAAGCAAGCCCACATATACAAGCACACGCATGGTTGTTTGATTATTGCCAGGGCAAACGAACTGACAGATACTGTCGAGGCGCGCACGACAGCTGGCAAAGCAGAAACTGACCTACCGGCAGAGTACAGGACAAAACAGTTTTTCTGCCTACTTCACTAACAGTACCTGCAGCACCGATAGTTAAGCTCACCTCAGTCTACTGTGAGAAAACGCACTGAAAGACTGAAAGTTAAAGCACATTAAACCCAGAGGCGCACAGCGAGCGAGAGCACTTACCTCTGTTGTGTACTTCAGACGGGGAAGGGATAGAGACAGATAGTGAAAGGGAGAAAAAAGAGAGGGGGAGGGTATGTGAGAGAGGGAGAGAGGGTGGAAGTTGAAGAAAAAGAAAATATGGGCTGGACGGGGAGAGGAGAGAAGTGACAGAGGGAGGTAGCCGGGTGATAAGATGAGGAGAGGTTTTTCCGTCGTGGCCGGACACGGATTAGAACAGAGCTGTATGTGTGTGCGTGTGTGTGTGTTTGCGTTGTAGCAGCTTTAAAGCACTCAGTTTCCTCCCCAAGCTGGGACAGCAGAGCTGGTCGCTATGGAGATGCAACTAAAGCGTGTTTGTGCGTATGTCGGCGCGTTCCCGTGTGTGCATGTGAATCCCTTAAAAGGGACTCTCTCTCTGGGAGCTAATGAGAGTCACTCTGCCCAGCACTACTCTTTCTACCCTCTGTTCATTCTGTGGGATGTGTATGAGGGAGGAGGGAAGTGGGGACTCCCTTGTTCGACTGTTTCTTATTATTGGAGACTGTGATGTCATCTCAGTGACGGATCGGAATTCCCTTCTTTTCTGTAAGGCTGTGTGTGTGTGTGTGTGTGTGTGTGTGTGTGTGTGTGTGTGTGTGTGTGTGTGTGTGTCTACGTGTGGGGTGTGTGTAGAAGAATGGAGGTTGTTGAAAAGTTTGTGTGTGTGTGTGTGTGTGTGTGTGTGTGTGTGTGTGTGTGTGTGTGTGTGTGTGTGTGTGTGTGTGTGTGTGTGTGTGGGGTGTGTGTAGAAGAATGGAGGTTGTTGAAAAGTTTGTGTGTGTGTGTGTGTGTGTGTGTGTGTGTGTGTGTGTGTGTGTGTGTGTGTGTGTGCCCCTGAACATGACCTGCCTGCAGATTTGTTGATCCATTCACAGATGGTTTCTGTCATTTGTTTTCCTCTCTTGCAACACACATGCACATACATAATCAAACATACACTAGAGAATGATTGCCAACCTTCCTAACTTCAGAGAGCTGTATAATTCAAGCCTTCCCACAATAATACATTACGTACACACTCCTGTAATAAATATCCTGCAATTGGTTCAACATCACTTCCAAGAAATGGCGTTTAAAAGCATCCTTGCTCTGGAATAATGGTAACAATAAAACAAATTAAACGCCCACTAAATTAAAATAAGCAACTTAGATGCTTGAAAAATAAATGTCCAAATGGAGATATTTCAAAGCTTGCAAGTTCCTTGTATTTTCACTCTCAGCTCTGTACATAGTACAACCCAGCACATGACAGTAGCTGTAGACTTGTAAAAGTACATTATGTTAAAACAGTGATAACACATTACCACAACAGACTGACGAAAGGTCAGCTGGGATAGGCTCTAGGAGCCTGAATTTGGAGAAGTGGAAGTGTACAGATGAATGCATAAGTATTGTTTTAAAGCCTATTTCCTATAGCTTTTAATACAGCTTGATGGATATTTCCTCTCTAACAAAGGCTACTTGTTAGGAGTCGGAAGAGCAAGAACTTTTTTAAGCCTGTACTTTTAAAAAAGTTCCACATAATTACACTATATATATATATCCATCCATCCATCCATCCATCGTCATCCGCTTTGTCCAGGGTCGGGTCGCGGGGGCAGCAGTCTAAGCAAAGAGGCCCAGACCTCCCTCTCCCCAGCCACCTCCTCCAGCTTGTCCGGGGGAATACCAAGGCGTTCCCAGGCCAGCCGAGAGATATAATCTCTCCAGCGTGTCCTGGGTCTGCCCCGGGGCCTCCTCCCGGTGGGACATGCCTGGAACACCTCACCCAGGAGGCGCCCAGGGGGCATCCTTGTCAGATGCCCGAACCACCTCAGCTGGCTCCTTTCGATGTGGATTTTAATATATACATCTCAATTTAGTTTTGAACTCTTGCTTTTAAGGAAGTTTGTGAGTTTGTGATTAACAAAGGGTAGATCTGAATCAGAAACTGAGGACACTGCTAGCTCATATGTTAGGGACTTGTCTATCAAAAGTCATCCCATAAAGCAAACCAAGCTTTATTGTCTGTTTGACACTAACGGGGGACCATGATTTACAAAATGTATAACATCCTGTAGTAAAGAAGAGTTATGGCTAGTGGTCGTAACCATAAACTAATAAGGAAAATGTTTACTGAGCCAATGAATCAAGTGAGAACTAGGGAATCAGACATTCCTTTGTATCCCGAGGAGTCTTCCTTGATCAGTGTGAGGATAATCCAGAAAAAAAACTTCAGAATATTCAGCATTCATTTTGAATTAGATGTAGGTGACTATTTTTAATATGAAACAATAAAATGTTTATTATCTGTTGCTACAAGGTCCCACCAACAACAGTGTTATAGTCAGTGTTGGGGAATAACGGCATATATACGTATTTAAAATACAAAATATGAGTAACTTTATTTCATTACAATTACCATTTAAATGATGTGATGAAGTTATAATTAGAATATAGTTATTTTGTTGAAATAAATGGATTACAAGGCAGTCATTTCCTGTTTCATATGTTAGGCTATCCCCTCCCTAATTTTGGTAATTAAATGCATTGCCAGAAACCCAAACAAAACACGCAATAAGAGGCTCTAATGTAAGCATTGGTGGCGTCAGTTACACAATGGACCCATTAGGATGCTCCTCTACAGTAAATATATTGTCTATTCAGGGAGATTTGGGCTTAACAGCCAATTGGTGGAGAAAAACAAGAATTTGCAGGATGTGATTACTACATTCATGTAGTTGTAAAAAGCATGACAATATATTAAGTAATCCAAAGTATTCAGAATATGTTACTAACATTGAGTAACTTAACAGAATACATTACAAACTACATTTTGGGACATGTATTCTGTAATCTGTAGTAAAAGTAACTTTCCCAACACTGGTTATAGTGAAATAATAGCGACACAGCAATGTATACAGCGGTTCATAGCATTTTATGGGCAGCAAACCACGTCTGGCCATTTGGTTTAAATAAACTACTTACATTTGAATCCTAAACATTATACAGTTTTGCCCATTTTGGTCACCAGACACTCTTTAATAAATTACCTATCAGAGAACAGCTTACTGTTTTTGTTTTTCGTGTGTGTGTGTTTTTTGTAGGACTGCTAAAATAGCCCCAGAATTTTTTTTCTTTTATTTACTTACATGTGTGCAAGCATATGCACATGAAATTCAAGATGTTGACTGATGCAGAGCTGCAACAGACATCTGAACCTTTGGCAGCAAAGCTGCAAAAGCAACAACGATCTTTTTTTTTTATTTTATTTTTTTTTTACCAAGCTTTACACAGGGATCGAGTAGTCAAGACCAGCTTTGGATTTCCCACAAAATCGCAAAAAACAGTGAGCCATGATCTTTTCAGGATTTTTATGAACAAGTGCTTGGTGGACTCTGCCGTGCTAATGTGCCTTGAGGGGTAAAAATAAAAAAGAATTTGACAACGTGCCACCATCAAGCGACCCTCAACAAGATGGATTGAAGACACTCCAAAGAATCTGGAGCTTTGGTTGAAAAACAAAGCAAACATTTCGACTTTTTCTTCTTGGCACTGGACAACAGCTGTGACATTTGTGAGTCAAGTTATTCAATCATTCCCAGGTATTGCACATGGGAAAATGAAAGAATTTGAGATTACAAAAGAATTGATAACAGTACGCTCAATGAAAGGGAACACACCAAGAAGTGATTTGCTCACAGAGGTAAATGCATGACTGACCCTCGAACTGAAATGGGTCAAAATGACAAGTGTTGCAACTGATGACCAAATCTGACATAGAAAAATTACGGACTTTTGAAGTAGGTGCGAGATAAAGTGCCTGAAATTAACCCAGAACTGAAATTGGAATTTTTGCATTTTATTTATGGGAAAATATCTAGTAACACAGCATAAGTCAGACGTAAGTACAAAAATAGCCTAGGTAGAGTTCTCCTTTAAAATTGTAAGTAAATGTATAGCATAACTGCTTAATGTCTTAGTTTAAAAATAAATAAAGTAACATATCTTTGTTCCTCTTTAGAGAACCTGCACTATATTCTCTCGTAATAAAACTGAAATTGAAAAAATATTTTCTACCTGGGATGTTGCCACCAGATGCTTTCCATTCACCATTGTGCTTCCTCTCATTTGGAGTTAGTGGGAACTCCAGCAGTTTTCAGTGGAATCATCAACTGCTAGTATCTCCGCCTTTGTAGCCTTGATGGCGCGTGTTTTGCCTTAAATCATGAAACAAATTTATTTCCACCTTTATCGGGGGTAGTTCATTTTGGTTTTCATTTTTCTGCGTATTTAAAGCAGTGTGCTTTGCCACGGGTTCCCAAAATTGCTCCATGACACGGTTCTCACTGTTGGACATGTTGGGCCTTGTCTTGTTTGTGTATGCTAGAAAGGATATGACACTTTTATATCATACGAAAGTTTTGACCTGTATTATTGTAGATGATATGGCAGAACCCTTCTTAAAATTTTCACACTGAAGAAGGAAAAAAAGACAGCATCGATACTGAAGTTTCCACATTAGTTAAGCTCATCAAAAGCTTATATAATGCCACTAACTCAGCATTCCTGTCTGAACTACATCATTTGAGGCTATTCACTTGCTTCAGAAGAAATATGGACTTAATCAAACTTTTTCTTGAGGGCATGCAGCTGCAGAGGTGCAAGAATGAAGCCACATGTTGATGTAGTAAACATTTTTAGAATTGGATCTTGTTCATCTCTAGTAAATATAGGGTCTCATCCTCCTTGCAGTGATGGGAAAAATTGGTGGTTGCCTGGGTATTTCTCTGAATTGTCTGGCATTTTGTAACCAGTAAGAGCTGACTGACTTCCCGACTGAGTGTGTAATGTCTTTTACCTCTGGGTAACCACTTTCGATCACAAGGCGATCGCACAGGTCAACTTGTAGCAAACCTCTGTCCAAGTAACAGTGGTCCAATTCAGACATACTGTTGACAGATTATTGAATGTATGCAAATAATAAGCAGACAGACTGACCCAGTTCCCATTTTCACAGCAACCACTTGAAAGGCAAATGGATCATAATTTCATTCCAAATGTCACAATAACTGTGCTTTTGCTGCAGTCTCCAACAACTGCTTTAACTATTCTGACTGTGACATAAATAAAAGAACAAAACTTGGCATCAGTGACTCACTCCGTTAATTACAAGAGACTCCTACTTATTATCGTACAATATCGAAGTCTAGAAGTGACGTGTAACCAAAGAGTTATAAAGGTGGCAGACAGAACTGAACCTTACCCTGTCTTAAAGTTACTGTCAAGTCTGA